TTCTAACTCTTGAGGCGTGTTTCCGATTTGGCTGTTCTCTCACTTTAACTTCTCTACCGACTAGCCTAGAACCCTTCCAATGCCAATTCCCTTAGGCAAATCTCGGTTCTCTCTTGTAGTCGCGTAGCCCAAGTTACAAGTCTACTTTGGCACACAAAACACAAGGTAAGGGTTTCTCTTTAAACGTTGCTTTATTGTTTATTACTTAAGCGTTACTAACTGAAACTAAACTCCGAATCCCTCTACATACTATCGAATTGCGCATGTATTTATACATGCACCTATTATTTACATGTTTACATCTGTTTACTATTCTACGCTACTCTAGAAATTCCCGCCACTAAACTTCCCCACACCAATTTTCCCACCTTAATTTCCCCACAATCCACGACAACAGGATGACATAACGTGATATCGCGTTGCACGCCTGTGCCGATTTTACCCATAATAATGTAAATTTTTATTTAATAATTTAATAAAATTTTGAAATTAATTTTCTTATAAACTTTAAATATTTTTTTGATAACAAACATAGTAAAAGAATAATTTTATTCATACCTCCAACTCGATATCTCTTAAACTTATAAAGGTTACTTAAAAACAAGTAAAAATTTTATAGTAAACTTTTAAATTTTGATTTAGTGAAGAGAATTTGTATTAATTTAAAATTTAAAGATTTATTATAAAATTTCACTTGTTTTTAAGTAACCTTTATGAGTTTAAGAGATATTGAGTTGGAGGTATGAATAAAATTATTCTTTACCATATTTGTTATCAAATCAAAAAAAAATTTATAAGTAAACAAGGAATAATCTTGGCTTCAAAATTTATATTAAATAATTAAATAAAAAAAATTTTTTTTTATTATAACTTAAAAACTCGTGAAAGGTTACGTGACTATTATATATCAAAATTATTTAAAATTGCGTAAGTTTAAATAAAGATTATTTATAAATAAAAAATTTACAAGTTTAATATATACAAACTTTTTATAATATACATTCTAAATTTCAAAAATTTCAAAAATTACTTTACTTTGTGAAACTAAGATTGCCAATGTCTAATACTAATCACAAACTCGGTAAAATAACTCCGATATTCACACGTAACGTGTTGACCCTAATATTTTATCGGCGCTGTACATTTCTTGAAGACAGACATATAAAAGAGACCATTCCACACCGTTATAATAATATATGAAGGTTTATAAGCTTATTTAAAAAGGAATTCATCATATCAGAACTGTTTGTAAGAACGCAAAATTGAGACGCGTCACGTAATAATGAATAAATGACGACATAATGATGTAATTGATTAACCATAGGTGGACACGTCAACAAAACATATAAATAGGATAGTTTGTAACAGTTAAAGTCATTTAGGGTTTAGTTTTGAGAACTCTTCCGTTTTTTCGCGCTTTTAGTGAATAAGTGTTATATCACTTTGCTGAATAACACACATGTCCTATAAACAATAAACTAAGACTAACGCCACTACAGTAAAGCAAACGACTTTAAGGAAGACACTGACGTTACCTTTGCACCGCGTAGAGAACTGTGTAGAGAACCGTGTAGAGAACCGCGTAGAGAACCGCGTAGAGAACCGCGTAGAGAACCGCGTAGAGAACCGTGTAGAGAACCGTGTAGAGAACTGCGTATAAAACCGCGTAGAGAACTGTGTAGAGAACCTCGTAGAGAGTGACACTTGTAATCTTGAGACGTGCCTAGAGAGACGGTCAAGAAGATATTAGCAAGTACAAGAAACCGGAAAAATCGTAAGCCGCCTCAGAGTTAAAGCTTTACCTTGTTTAGTGCCAAATTCTGAGTGTTCGGATTATCAGACTCAATAGACTTATAGGTAAGATGTCTCGCATCCGTTATCGTTCATACTTTTATTATAATGGTTCGCGTATAATTTGATTTGTGCATGAGAGTTATATTCTTAAGTAAAACTTTTTGTACGCGGGGACTATTATGAACGTATTAGCAAATATTTTATAAATAGTGATATTGTATAAGCTCATTCACGAACTAAATACAGACAAGTCAAAGGAAATTCATTCATAATAAGTTACGCGGTCAACATTTCTCAGATCTGAAAAACCAAACTCTGCTTACCCCCATCCAGTGATCAACAGCGTCCCATGTCCATTTCGGGAAAAACGACTTGGCAGCATTTAGAAATTTTCATTAAGATCTTAAAGTTACCATCAAACCCTAAGGTAAAGGTAGTTATGATTCGCGGATGTACATATGTCATGTGAAATCTTATTCTCTTGCTGCGCCACATTAGGAAGTGTGACGCAGTAAAGAAATAAAATTTCATGTTTATTGTGCCAGTGCTTTTATAGCATTTATATTTGAAAATAGTCATCAAAATACATAAAGAACCGTTCTAAGTTTCCTCTTGTGTGCAGCCATATATAGAATCCATTATTATAAAGAATGAAGTAATCATCAATTTGTGGGATAATGAATCTACTTCTAAAATAAATAAGATAGAAAGTCTTTTAGTAAGTATTTATATCGATTTCCTCAACAAAACAACAAATTAGTATTATCTAAACATGTCAATTTAAGGCTACCGAAATGGTCGAAAGATCTCCGAAAGTAAAAGGTATCCCGTGCAAGGAGTTTAAATTAATAGATCACATAATAAATGGAAGTACGTGCCAAGTTCAAAAGGCTATGTGGAATATCGAAGATAATAAGATATATATTACTTTAAAATTCATTGAAGAGAAGCTGGATGAAACCAAGCATCAGGAAATAATTGGCGAGGTATAGTTTGTATTGATATTAAACATTTCATGATTTTACATAATAAAATTACTAATAATGTTAGCAGCTTAAAGTTTATTATACAGTTAATGCAAAAGATAACCACGAAGATGTCATAAAATTTTATGGCTCGTGGTATGTTTAATGTACTATAATAAGTATATATTATACAGTCTAACATTTTAAATGTATTGACCATTACAGTCAATGTATGTTTTTAACCACCTTTTTTTTAAGGAAAAATACCTTATTCTAGAAATATCTAATCAACCATATTTTACTAATTTATTCAGCAACCGATGGATCCGTGATAATTCTAGAGTATATCGAGAATCCTAGGCCAGTAATTTTTATGGATGATGAACTTGAAGATATAATGATTACGGGATTAATGTTCAGGGAACAGAAAACGTGTTGCGACAATCATCCTCATAATTCCCTCGTTTTTAAATACATATCAAATAATTCGGGTACAAAAAAATCCACTTACATCTCATGGTTATAAACGAATGCAATGATTCTTAATTTTTATTAATTTTATTCGCAGGAATCCTATCTAACTTTGTGTCTTCTTTAGACTTAAATAAAAATGATCAATATACAATTAATCAAGATGATAAAAAACGGTATATTGGTCATTTCCGTAAGTGTAGCACATATTTTATTATTATTGTTTTTTTCCTAAATTGTTTAACTATACACATCTAAATCAATAGAATACAACGATCCGGTTCTTGAAAATTCCAATTATCTTTTTGCCAAAATCAATCGTTTTTATCTTATTTTTTTATCTTTATTCTCTGGCATTCTTTTATCTTTATTTTATTATTTTGATTAAACATGATTCTTCTTTTTATTTAACATACCGTCTTTAAGATTAGTCTTTTATAATATAAACACGCTTCGTACCTTTTTTTATACTGTATACTACATGTGTTTTGAGTATATTCTATTTGGTTTCATTATCATCATATTCTATTGGATGTATTAATATATCTTTTTAAATAAATCATATAATTATTATATACATGATAATCAATCCCATTTTGTAAAAACTTTATTCTTTGAAAAAATATACCGTATATCGTGTTGAAAAAATACTCTTATAAGAATGTTGTCAAAGACAAACCTTTGAGTGTATCTTGCAGTCAATATTGTTAGTACCAAACTTTTTATCTCAGAAAATCGTATATAAATAATAATAAAGAAGACATTGCTGTAATATTTCAGTAAGGTAGACAATGAAAAAATAACTAATGAATTTCTGTAATGTAAATAATTACGATTAAAAATAACAATTTACAACTCTGCTATGCCTGATTAGGAAGTATTGTGTATGGATGTTAAGCATTTCGGCCAGAAAGGTTTAACTCCGGGTTAACTCCGGTTCGGCCTCAGTTTTACCGGTTTACAATAACAATCCCAATTTAGAACACATCAAAATCAAATTGAATACGCATTGTTAAATATTAGATAAGCATTTTTGTTTGTTATAATCATGAGCCATTTGAACAATTTAGTTGAGTTCGGAAATATGTAGGTTAAACATGAACCGGAAATTTTAAACCGTTTGACATTCCTAGTACAGTATTGTGGGCATGCAAAATAAAATAGATAAAACTTGAAAATATTAAAAGATCGCATGTCTATAAAAATAATATATAAAGGTCATAGGAAATTTATTGAAAACTACAAAGTGAAAATAAAAGAAGATAAGAGAAATAAATAAAAAAAGAAATGAGTATGATGTATTTAAGTTCAGTTTAAAAACAAAATAAAACACTCTTGGGTAAATGAACCCCTGGGTTCTATCGATTTAATAGAGTTATGAGTGTTCTGCTTAATCTCGCTGTCTATAAGAAATTGGTCGAGTAATTTAGAATAGTAATATTAACAAAAACATTATTGTACTTACAAGGTTTATCGACAAACTGTTTTCTACATGAATTGATAATGATTAATAAAAAATAAAAAATATCTAAATATGTACTCGATATTTTAATAGTCGATTATTTTCCTTACTAAAATAATTAGATATGAATTTAAAAGCAGACGAACCATGAGGGCGATCATTGCAACACCTTTGTTATTCTCTAAGCACGATTCTCGTAATCATTACTCCCTCGCTAAATTTTTCCCTTAGGTAGTTATGTTAATTTTAATACATTCTAAAATCATTAAGGGAGATCTATCAGGCACTAAAAGGTAAGGTATAATCAGTAAGTATCGCTGAATAAAAATACATACCATTAAAAAAAAAATGTAGATACAAACATTAACTAGTAGAACATCCAGAAATATTAAAGAATCTGTTAATAATACTAAAAAAAAAACTATATACGACTAACATTTATTGTTATAAGCCAAATATAAATATACCTTAAACCATAAAATTTGTTGTCACTTTGTCTTTTGCATTTACGGAATGATAAATTTGAATCTACGAATTTTATTTAAAAACCAATATACTGTACCAGCATATGCACATTTGTATCTCACCGATAATTTCTAGATGTTCTGTTTTATCTAATTTGCCTTCACTAAATTTTAAAATAATAAATATTTCGTCGCCTTCATTATTCCACAACCTTCTGAATTTTGACATTCTTTCAATCCATAATATATTTTATCAAATAATAATTATTGTATGTGACATTCTCGGCATGTAATAGCGCCTTGTTCCTTTCTGCAATCTTAAAATAGAAAATATCAAGTTAACTAATTGTTTGAAATTTCTTGAAAAATTTTAATCTAAATACTACTAAAATGTTTCTATCTTATTTATTTTAGAAATGCCTACATTATCTCGTGAATTGACGATTACTTTATTTTTTATAATGATATATTCTATATAAGGTTGTTCATAATCGAAAATGTTCGTTATGTTATCAAACCATACAGTATACCCGTGAGTTTTTACGTTATCCACTCCATGTTGTTACTTTCCCTTAGCGACTGTTTGCAAAAATAATTCTACGCCTATCAAAAACATATTTTCTTTATTATGTTCGCTACCAGTGCAGCGCAGTAAAATATTTATTTTGTATCACGTGAGCTTATTCGAAACAGAATTGTTGAAAATCACCACACATAAGGGCAAACCAAGAATAGAATATCTTGTGTTTTTCCTTTGGTTTTAATGGCGTGATTTTAAGGATCAGTGAAATTTCTAAGCGTTGCCAAGTCATTCTCTCCATTCTACTTTTGTTGGTAGGTTAGACGTAGGAGTGATCCATTCCCAATAATAGAAATTATTCTTTAAAGATCGCCTATTCATAAAATGAAAGTAACATTATTTAAAACATCTTAAAATACAATAATAATGTTCCACGGGTGTCTCACAAATTTGCTAATTAAAGTATCTTTCCGCGCGTGAATCATAATTTTGCCAAGTCATTGTTGTTTTGTCTTTTTATAAACGATTACGAAGCATTTTTTACCTTTTATTCTGCTGAAAGTAATAAACATTTCACAACTTGGTTAATTCACTGATGATTTTTATAGAATAAACTTTTTTAAAGATATTAAAAATCTTATTAGCGCACTAGAAAAGGGCGGTTATACTGTATACGGTTTTTCGATCAATTGAGCAATTCTACAAAAATAACATCTTCAATGAATGAATGTGATTAGTGTTTGATGGTAACACCAAAGAGTGTACAATGGAGTCTTACTTTCCAATGATTGTACTGTGCTGTAAACGTCGTTTTTGCAAATTGACTGTTAAGGAAAAAATTCTACATCAATAGAAATGATATATGCGTGATATATGCTGTGACCGCAACGCACATCTCTCAGCCTACACATTGTTTCACGTGACCATTTAGATAATCCAAATACTGTACAATGATCAAATTGATGGATCTAAAAAAATCTTGTGCGCCTTCGAAAAATAATTAACCAAGAGATTTAAATTTAACAGGTCTGTTATAAGAATTTTAATCAAGGGAGCTCAAGTTTATTGAAATTAAACAATTAAAAATAATCAATAAACAATAACATATATATGTATATATTATTAAATAATTAAACGTATTATTTATTTTTCATTTTTTAGAAAATAATATTTTGTGTTTATAAATTCTTAATTAAATCCGCATGTGCAGTACATACTGTAGAATCATAATCTTTATCATATCATTTAATAACTAATTAATTTATGATTTACTGTATATATAGTGAAATAAAAATAAAAAAGCAGATTTTTATACTTTATAATTAAAAGTATAACATGTGATCAACCAAGACGTAATCATCGAAGTTTTTTTTTTAATCATGTTGGTTGTATTTTGTCATATTTCAAGTAATAAAAGAAATATATATACTGTATATAATATATATGATATAATATATATGATATAATAATGTGTATAAAATAAACAGTAAATAAATATTTTTATCGATAAACTATATAAAAAATATTAGTTAAAATTAATTTCAAAAAATTATATATATAATTTATGGATTTTAATAATTAAAAGACACCTGCCAAAGTTTAAATTATTAATATAAATAATAATAATTTTAATTATTTTATTCCCAAAACCTGTATATTTATTTTTGAAAATCTTTATTAAAAATTTTTTATAAATATCTAACTTTTTTTATTATTATTTGTATTCTTTATTTTCACTTTAAAAAATTAATAGTAAAACTATAAGCTATTAAAAAGAAAGATTTAAATTTTATTTTTTATAGTTTCAAAATTATCTTTCAGATATAAAGTTTTTGTTTCAAGTCTTTACTTTTTTTATACTAATTAAACCAATTCAATTCGTATTATATCGAATAGGTTTTTAATAATGTATTTTTTTTTTCTAAATGAAACCGCATGAAAATGTATTTTTTATCTTTAAGGATATAAAATTGAAAACAAAAAGAAAGGCTTTTAATTTAATAACAGCTTTTGATTTTAGTTTCATGATCTTGATTGTCTTATTTTTTACTTCTTTGTTTTTCGTAATCGCAGCAACGAATGACTTGAAGCTACCGGCAACATTAGAGGATTTTTTGAAGTTTCTGGAAATCAACTCTTCTGCCACCTGACGTTTTTCTGCCTTGGCCTCTACATGCATTTAGATTTCTATTTCGACGGATGACGACCCTTTCCAAATTTGGAGGTCAATGTCATCATATTACAGTACTACAAAGTTTCTCCGCATCCGTCTCAAATACAGTAGTGAATACCATTATCCCGTCATCCGAAGACTTGTTTGTTGCATTCTTTGACATCGCATTTTTTTTCGTGAGCTGAGATGGTGAATATAACAGAAGCAACGTGCAATTTGATTTAGGTGCTATCCAACTGCGCAGTAAAACAATGTGATTTATTATTAACA